CACTATAACTCGCAGCATTCATAGACAAACACTTGTCTTTATCTGGACACATTTTCCCCACAAATACAACATGCTAACGTTATTAGCACAAGCCTATGGCATTTTACATTGTATAAATTAGCCTAGCAGCTAGCTTACTTCTCCTCTACTCATATGAATCCAGGGACAACAGCAACATGTAACAAAGGTAACATTACAAAATTCAGCTCCATTACAACTCACAAGGTTCATTGACAAAACAACTCTCTTATACTAAACACGCTTTCCAAGCAAATACAACATGCTAACATTATTAGCACAAGCCTATGGCATTTTACATTGTATAAATTAGCCTAGCAGCTAGCAGAGATTTCCTCTGTTCATATGAAGCCAGGATAAATCACATACAAGACTTATAATGCTATTTTTGTGGAGGCTTTATTGTCTTCACGATTTACTGTTTCTTATCTGTGAAATTAAAGTAAATAAAAGTTTTGTTTCCACTGAGGGAAATGGTTTCAGCTTACAGAAACAGACAGGAAGTCTTCGTCACCACAATGTGTAGTTACATTTCTGGGGAGGCTACGGCATTGACTCAACACAGAAGTATATTCCGCCTTATTCCTCCCACTTAGTTGGCTTCTTAGCACCGACCTCCTTGTGTCCTCATCATGGCTTGATGAAATTATAAATATACACACATATATATGGTATGTAATTGTGGGTGTCAAAGTGTGAATTGTCTGTGTTGACAGAACGTGGGTCCTGATGTAAATATAGCTGACGTGGGACTACAAACATTGTGAAGCATTGATGGATTAAAAGCACAAACAAACAGTGAGGACAGACAGACAGACAGACAGACAGAAGAAATTCCTTTTCTGTGTTATGTGAATGAAACAAAAGATGAAAGACCGTCACACAAATCCAGAAGCAGAGATAATATCTCATGAATGCAGGCACTTAAGGATACACACACACACACACACACACACACACACACACATATAAAAGCAAATTTACCTAATGGCCTCATTAACTCTGACTCTTAGTGTTTGTGACTCTGCACAGAACACACACTCTCGAATATGCATCCACACACCTGATGTAACCTGGGGACGCTTACCGTCCGCCCCCGGGGGGAAATTGCTCGTTCATAATCAAAACGACAAACAAATGGCCCTCTACTTGGCACACCATTTTGGAGTGACTCAAGCAAAAACAAACAGCGGCATGATAGAGAGACATTTAGAGAGAGACAGAGAGGGTGTCAGAGCAAATCAAAGGTGAAAGCGACTGCAGCACAGTGGCTTAGGGACGCACAAGTGAACACACACAAACACACCATTTCTGCTCTCAGCCTCTGTGGAGGCTCCACCAGAATAATGAAATATGGGTGTGCGCTGAAAAGAAACATTACGCCCAAAAAAACAGACACGAATGGCAAGTGAAGGAAGGGCCAACTCTACATTCACTCATAGTCAACTGCAGCTGGGGATTGTTGCAGATCTACTAAAATGTAACTAGCATGATCATCAGAATAAATTGTTTTAGGTAGCGCAGATGTTGTGGTAACAGTTGCTGGGAAAATTTGATGTTTAACTTTTATACAAGGTTTTCCCTGCCTATCTAAGACAAAGGCGGGCCGCCTGGGTGATTTTGGCCGCCGCCTTTGTTAAAGCGTGTGTGTGTGCATGGGGGGCGTCCAGATGTAGCGTAGGGAGGGGCGCACATTCAGTGCGACGCGCTTGTTTTTTCGTCCGGCGCACAGCTCCATGGACCTGCTTCTCCCTCCGGTGTTGTGTCAGATCCCAGTTCCCCCTCAGGCTGTGTCTCTCCTACTGTTTCCCACGGAGCTCTGCCCCATTTGAAAGGCGAAGGAAGCACGTATGTGGAAAGACGTCACCTCCGAGATGTAGAATGTGTATTATAGAAGAGAAACACATATTTCAGGACCGCTGACTTGTATCATCAGAACAGACATGTCCTGTGATTTTCAGCCTCCTTTCATATTTAATAGAGGGGGGACAATACCTGACAGTAATATTCTCAGCTGTCAGGATGTGCCTGCTGTAAAGGGTAAATATAATCATAGAAGGCTGGAAATCATAGGACATGTCTGTTCTGATTATACAAGTAATGTAGCCTGATAGTCTTAATGACTCACCTTAGAGCAACATTCATAGCTGCGTCAATCTCAACCATGTTTGTCGCAACTGTCATGAAAGAAGGAAACAAGAGTTGCACACTCTGGCTCCATGTCACTTTGATTTAGATGATGTTTCAGCCCTCTGGCCTTCTTCAAGATCAACAATCACACAATATGGGGTAAAATATGGTCTTAAAGCAGGCCTGAGAGCCAAAACATCATCTAAAGCTTCAGGAGAACATTCAGTTCATACTCGTACTCATACTTGTCGTCCTCCGCTTATCCGGGTCCGGGTCGCGGGGGCAGCAGCCTCAGCAGAGAAGCCCAGACAGTCCTCTCCCCAGCCGGGCGATGTAATCCCTCCAGCGTGTCCTGGGGCGGCCCCGAGGTCTCCTCCCGGTTGGACATGCCCGAAACAACTCCCAAGGGAGGCATCCGGAAGGCATCCTTACCAGATGCCCGAACCACCTCAACTGGCTCCTCTCGATGTGGAGGAGCAGCGACTCTACTCCGAGTCCCTCCCGGATGTCTGAGCTCCTCACCCTATCTCTAAGGCTGAGCCCAGCCACCCTGCGGAGGAAACTCATTTCGGCCGCTTGTACTCACGATCTCGTTCTTTCGGTCACTACCCAGCGCTTGTGACCATAGGTGAGGGTTGGAACCAGAGCATGTGAGCGGAGCGGAGCTGGAACGGAGCTGAGCGGGGAGCGGGAGGATTTTGTGTTGAGCGAGGAGCGGCTATTTTTTTTAAAAGGTGGAGCGGAGCCTTATCTCTCACTCCAATTTCGCTCCGGTTGCTCATACTCCACCTAGAATGCATCTTTGCACCTGCGCACATCCACACTATTTTCTTTCAAAACTATGGAGTTTACTGTGTACTTCAGAAAAGAAACTGAGAAGAGAAGCAGCGGTACCTTGGAGAACGGTCCCTAACTGCGGGGAGAGGCGAGAGGGCTTCCCCTGAGAATCTACCAAGCTTATGTTTTATTTGTGAATAGAAGATTACAGGTTAGGGTAGTACGACGCAGTTGTTTTGAGCGGAGTGGTGTGCGAGTGGAGTGGGATAAAATTTATGATGGAGTGGAGCGGAGCGGAGCGAAGAATGCGCAGAACCAAGCGGAGCAGACGAGCGGTGCAAAGTGACAGGTCTGCAAGCGAGGAGCGGAAATTTTCACCCGCTCCGCTCACATGCTCTGGTTGGAACATAGATCGACCGGTAAATCGAGAACATTCAGTTGACAGTGATATTAATGTGATATAGCTAACAAGCCAAGTTAGCCCTCAGAGATAATATGTGCTAACTACACTGAGAATGGATCGGAAATGTGCCGACACCAGATATCAAACACAAGCCAGATGTTGCGTCATATTAAGTTGCTGTGGCCTGTAATTCTACCACGTCAAACAGAAAATGCAGAAGATAAAATCATCTCTGAGCATAGCTGGACAAAGCCTCTCGTCCTCCAGGCAGCTGCCTCCGTCTCACTCAGACTCACCCTGGGTCTGTGTCTGCAGCTGCCTTTATTGGAGAGCAGCATGAAAGCAGGGAGCTCTCACTCTGCGGCTCAATTGGGGGACGTTTCATTTACTGCACACTGACTGACAAAAAATAAATTAATTACATTAAATTAAATTGAATAAATGTGTCAGCCCTGTGATAGTCAGCATTAAGCCAAATATCTCCAGTGATGAGTGCGCAACTGTGTCTCAAAGGAACGCTGATCAGAGCTGGCAGAAAACATGTGGAGAGAGTCTTTAGTGTGAGGTCGTGTTCATGTCAGGAGCTGAGCTAGAGTTTAGGATCACTTCAGGGTTACGTGGAGGTTGGAGGTGAAAGTCAAAGCTTAAGTTAAGGGTCGGGACATTTGCATAATCGGAAGCAGGTATGAGTCAAGATGTGTGTGTGTGTGTGTGTGTGCAGGGTGTATGCTGTGTGGCTTTAATATTTGAAGTCTGCAAGCTGCTTGTAGCTCTCATTAGGCGATCAGTTTATGGTTTAAAAGAATCTGACTCTGTATCAAAACACACTTCACCACTTCTTAAACCAGCGATAATATTTGTGCAGCTTTTGTCTCCCGATGTTTTCTCATTCAGTTAAGTGAAAGAAACTGATCAAACACATTAACAAACAATCAGCTGTAATAAAGTGAACTGACTCTGCAGGCTCCACCGACGTGAACACAGAAACCACAACTCTGAATAAACACATTACCAACTGTACAATCGCATAATGGCAGCAATTACAAGCACAAAGCAGGTTTATGAAACATCTAACACACACACACACACACACACACACACACTGGTATGTATAATCAATAACACCTGAAACATGCTATCACAGTTTAAACAAAGACGACAAACGTGTCTCACTGCTTCAGTCGTCTTGTCTCATATTACTGTATGTTCGTTTTCCTGGACATGGCACACACACACACACACACTGTACTCTCTGTCTCTGCTCTCTGCCTCGCCTGTTAGATTTATTGATGCAGCAGTTTTCAGTCTGTCTCTGTGGTGTGTTGGTCCGCCGAGTCATTTAGGATATTGTAGTGCTGCAGCAGTTGAGTCTGGCACATTCAGGGGGAAACACACACACACACACACACACACACACACACACACACACACTGTACTGTATACACACAAGCTTTTGTCCATCATTATTCTCTCTATCTTCCTCACAAAGAAAATATCACATTCCCCCAAAACTCAAAAACCCTTGAGTCTGTCTGTAAGTTTTATTCAAAGTGTTACTATAACCCAAAGTTTAGCATCACCTTAAGGTGTGGCATTAACTGGATGACCTAATGATGGATGGGTAGGGTGGATGGGCATTAATCACACTGCAGTTATGTGATCATGTACTCACAGCTGACACTGGTCTCCCTTGATGCCCTTAGTGGTACAGAAGCACTTCCCTGTGTTGACGTGGCACACGTTGGCGTGGCTGTTACATTTGCACGCTGCAGAGAAAAGACAGTGTTTGAAGAGAAAGAGATGTGTTAGGATTTTATCTCTGAAATGTCACAGTAGAAACCAACATTTTCTTTTCAACTTGTGCAGCAAATGCTTCAGTTCCTTTGATGGTAATCTACTGCCGCGGCGCTGCTCTGCATCCAGCACTTAAATCCTCTGACAGTGTGGTTACCAGTGTTTCAGGTGAGGGAATGTATGCAGACAAAGAGAGTGAGTGGGGGAGAGTGGAGGGTGCTGAAAAAGGTGGAGAAAGAAGCAGAGATGATGAGAGAGACGAGTGAAGTGAAGAGGTGAAGGAAAGGGGGAGGAAGAAAAGGACAAATCGCTCATTTTCAGAGAAACACTGAAGCATCTTGTGAGTCATTCCCACTCTGCACTAATGGGTGTTAAGTTCCTGATTGAAATGTTTTCTCTTGTGTCTCTGTTCTCAGGCGCGACTGAACTGCACGCACCTTTACCTAATACAACTTTAAAAAGCATCATTACTTTAACACTGTTATGCTTTTCTTTACTAAACTGAAAAAAATGTTTCTGGGCACCAAAAGGTCACCAGAGAACTGTTTTACAGCACTGTTTTTTATTTGATTAAATATTTAAAGAAGTATTTTATAAATATAAAGACGGTCCTCACATAAAAAAGGCTGCCTGTGCAGGAAAAAGATGAAAATACTTTTGAAATTGTTGCTACATGACCTGAGAAAACAGAGATTTTTCCGCAAGCTGTTTTTGAAATCTTCTGCACAGGGCGTAAAATTAACACCGGCCAAGCGCCAATGGCGGGTAAAAAATGAGCTTGGCATATAAAACAAAAACAAAAACCCGCCAGTGGCCGATGGAAAATTCTGAATTGCATGTGGGTTTTTTTATGTGCTTCGACCATTTCTGCCAGCTGTGTCAGACTATTTTGACCCTCGCGGCTTATTGTATGTGTGCCGGGAACGCATGACATCAGCTACCAGAACCCTGGGCATTCTATGGTAACTTCTGACACATTTCTGCCGTGAAGCCACCGCCAGAAAAGAGGAAAAACGAAGATGAACATGTTGGACTTGGACAAGAAGAACAGACAGTTAAACGAAGTACAAATGTCGCACGGCATTTGATTGAAAAATGGAAACTAGACGAGGCTGGCCAGCCGTGGTCATGGCTGACCTACGACCCGCACACCAACACAATGAGCTGCAGCCTCTGCTGCAAGCACGCCAAAGAAACACAGAGGACAGGGTTGGATTTTCCTAAAGTTGGAAGGTAATTATTTTTAGTCAAACAAGGCACGATTTTTTTATTTGGCTTGTGAAAAATATGTTTGGCCGGTAAATTTTTGGAGGTCACTAGCCAATGGAAGATGAGGTAAAAAGTTAATTTTACGCCCTGCTTCCGCGATCACCTGCCCCTCGCATTACTCGTAGTTCACCTACTTGACTGGCTCGTGGAGTGAATAGAGGAGAGGAGGGGAGGGGGCGGTATTGTGCATGCACGGCTTCCAGGTGCGTTTGATTTACAACACAAGACAACAAGAGTGAACTGACAAGAAGCGCATAATCGTTTCATGCCGATTATTTTGTTTTCATAATCGTTGAAAGCCCAAATCGTAATCTAGATTAAAATTCGATTAATCGAGCAGCGCTAATGTATCGTATCGTATTGTATCCTATATCGTATCGATCTGCTTCTATACTCTTTGTGTCCGTGGCAGCACATGTGAGAAATATTCCTAGCCTTTCTCCAAGAAAGCCTTTTCTGACAGAAATCTAATCATTTTTACCCAAACCGTGACTTTTTTCCTAACCCTTTACCAAGAGATCCCTTTCTGGTAGAAATGCCTCCAGGAAAATTTCTCCCAACTGCTCCGTGCCGGCAGCAGCATGGGTGGCGGTGGCGGATAATATGAAAATGCAGAATTCAGCCTGTGGTTCAAGCTACTGCCCTGAGGGCCAGCGAAGCTCCGCCAAATGATGTGAAATACATCATCCGGCCTCTTGGGTGAAAGTTGGCGTGTGTTGGACCCATCCACCTCTTGCCGCCTTAACTTTCACTGTTGTCCCCACATTTCCCCCTGGCGACGCCGAGCACCGTTAAACTACAACTTCAACCGGCAGCATATCATGCCAACGTGAAAGGACAGCTTTTTTTGGTGGTGTCTGATGCTGCAAGTCACAGACCAAGTACCGGATTTCGACAACTTTGGAGTGAGACCGGGTTGTGTTATCGCAAAAATACCCAGAAGGACCATATCGCCCACCACTACATGAAAGCCCAATATTCACATTAGCTCTGTTTCTGGTCGCTACCAATTATTGCATCATTACAAATATAAAGACATATAATTACAGCTTTAAGAGCCGCACTGATGACAAACTGGATATTTAAGGCTACAAGCAAGGCTTCAGACTTCTGGTACTGTTCCTCCTCAAGAAGACTGCCAAGTCAAAGCCACAGAATAAGACACAGAAAATACACAGCAGCCATGTTATGACAAGGAAAATAAAATGTCTCAGTATAGAGGGCCAAATGTGAAATATAATATTGCTATTGCACCACGGAAAGGAAAATAAACTTCTACTGTAATGAGCTGTTTATCAACATCAGATTTGAGATGTAATCATGACATATACGACTCACAGTAGGAAAAAAAAAACGTCCAGAACATTAAGCTGCATATGGTAACATCCCAGATGGTGAAATTTGGCTTGTCTTTATTGTAGGTAGTTCCGCTGTTGATTAGAGCTACGGAGATGGGAGCCTTTTTTCGGTGAGTCTAATCTTTTTAATCGTTTTGTTATGCAAAAGCAGAGCATGATGTAGCCGGATGATTCACATGGAGCCGAGCCTGTAATTTAGACACTAAATCACTTCTGCATGGAGTGACTAATGGCAGAGACAAACAAGAACGTTCTCTCTACCCTTGTGTTATGGTGCGTGTGTGTGTGTGTGAATGTGTGTGTGCTCACATCCGCACAAGGCCACTCTTCCCTGTGTCCCTCTCCAGCTGAATTGACTTTGTGCTTTGTTCTTATTCTCTCCAATTGGCACTGAGACAGGCCCTGTAATAAAACAGTGGTGCGCTCGGGTCAAGGTAAAACCAAGGCACCGGCGGATAATGAGAGGAAAACAACCTCTTCTATCCCCTCTCCTCCTCTGCCTGGGAAGAGGGCCCGATCTGATCGCTTACGCTCGGCGAAAAACAAGGTAGCAGATGAAAACGCTGCTTTAAATATTTAGATTCTTGAACACACACATGCATACACTGAGTGGCAGACAAACAAGGTTGCGCAGCGGGGCGTTCAAATGTCAGCGGGCTGAAAGTCGAATTGACGTTCTTCTACTTGAAAAACAAGAGGCGCTGACAGCAGAGGCGGCAACAATAACAAAATACAATTCCAATCTATTACTTGGAATTACACTGACCTGTCACAAAGAAAGAAAACCTTTTCAGAGATGCACAGTGAACGGCGAGGGCTTGGCAGATAACAGAGCTTTAACAAGAAGTGGCTTTTAGACTTGAGATAATAGACAAATCACAGGTGTGTTAGCGCAACCTCGGGTCACCCTGCTGTTCATACAATATTGATTTAGCAGGCAGTCAACAAAGGCATACAAAGGACACAGCTAGCAGAAATGTGCATTCATGAACTCACAGATCACACAGATTTTGCCACTGAGCACTTGAGAAAAGCCAATACAGGCAGGAAAGAAAACAGACTGACAGAGAGATGATGAATTCTGGTTAAAGGCTTAAAAAGCTGCCAGCGACTTGTTACTGTTTTGGTTTTGAGGCTTTCTGAATATCACAACCATCTGAGAGCTTCACACACACACACACACACACACACAAACACACACACACACACACACAACAAAGACACTCTCAGCTTCCACGATCTGGCTGTAATCTCGAAGGCCACATTAGAAATTGAACTAAGACACTTGAACAGAGACACAGCACAGCCTGTGAGGCTTGTCACTTGGTGATAAAAAAGTGAAATTATTCCAGATCTCACAGTAAAACAAAGACAATTCCCTCACAGAGAGCCGCATTAACTTTTCTCCTCTCCTCAAACAAACGTGAAGCCACTGCAATCCCTCGAGCAATAAACAGCATCCTGCTTCCAGCAGAGCAGACGCCAGGAGAAAATGTTGGCATTGTACGTTTCTGCAAACCACAGATACATTTGTATATTTCATATGTATCATATCCAGTTTTCTTAAGTGACTTAGTATATGAGCTGACTTTGTCATCAGGCGGTGGAGGGGATGGTGGATGTCATAACACCTAGACCACACACTTGCTAAGTTGCAGTCCAGCAAACAACAACCAGCTGGGATCTAGCAAGTCATCATTGTGGTTTTTTTTTTTGTTGGAACCCATTGCTTCCTTTTGGGGGACTGTGCCCTAAAAACTGGGCATCTCAAACCCAAACATGATCTTTTCCAAACCATAACCAAGTGTTTTTTGTGTCTAAACCTAGCTACACATTAACCACAGCACTTTTAAAACATAAAGTTTCAGTCTCTGCTACATCAGCTGTGGGCCACATCTGGCCCTTGACAGGGTGTTCAGTTGCCCCCCAATTCTTTTCTAATTTACAATAAATATAAACTGATTCTTTTTTGTATTTATGATGTAAATAAGGTGCCAGGGTTTGAAATAAAGCACCAAAACAGAGCCTGTTTACATAAAAAAAACCTGGCGAGAATCTAATTTTTTTTATTGAGGATATTATTAATTTGACAAAGACAAATAAACATTTAGGTAGCCTACTAGAATAATATAATCGATTACTTTTTTCAGTCCACTACATACATTTAGCAGCTACAAAAAAATGTCTGGAGTGAGACGAACACACTGAAAACGTTATCTTGTTGGATAAAACAGATGTTGTCATTAGGGGACATAATTTACAGTTTAAAAAAAAGTTATATATCACAATGTATTTTATCACAATACTCAGCATATTGCAACCTATTTCAAACTGCAATAATATTT